TGCTTAAATTTCAAACTCTTCTTAGACAGTTTATGTCTTTTTGACAAAATTTTTCAATTTTGTGAATACTCAAATCAAGAAAACTGAAACAATAAATAAAACTTGAAACTTCTTAAAATATGAACTTTCTAATTGGTAAAATTTAAAATATCACCCAAAAGCTAAACACACAAACATGAATCAAGTTTAAAGTTATTATTTAACTATTTAAAACAATCATTAATATCAATCATTTAAACGATTTTTTTCTTTAACAGTGTGGTCACTGTTAGGCACTGTTCACATGAACACTACCGACATAGTTCACGTGAACAATGCATGTAATTTTTTTTTTTTTTTGAATTTACAGGAAAGTAGAACCTTTGCTCTAATACCAAAGTGTAACACTCCAAAATTTCAGAAACCTTGAAGTGTTACCAAAAATTTAATTTTCTTTGTATCAAAGGCGAAACGTTAAAATAATATTCTTTAATAAAAAAAACTGAAATATTCTTAAATTTAAACTAAACATGAAAATTGTAATGTTAAGAAAATAACACAATCACTAATTAAATAACACGCATTTGAACAATTATAACTAACTAATAAATTAAAGGGGAAAAAACTTTATGTTTTTATTTCTTAAATTCATCATTGTAGTCCATCACCATAACACCACAGTCTCAATCGATTCGAACTAACATGTAAAATGTTTTAAGAGTGAATATTTAAAAATATCAAGTAAGCTACATGCAATTCCCACGCACAATTATATAACAATAAAATCAACACTTCATACCACTATTCTCTTATAGAGTATATTGGCAATCAAGCGACACACTCATCTTAGATCATCTTAAATTCCCGTAGGATCTCTTATCTCTTAATAAAGAATTCGAAAGTCCACTGACAATTCAAGTATAAATTACTGAATATAAAAGTATAATGAAACAAAACACTTACACAAAAGTATCTTACCTTGATTTTTAAAAGGTTGGAAAGAATAAGATCTTGCACGTAAAATATCTTCTATTTTTCTATACTTTTCCCTCTCATTCTCTCTCTACCGTAGTTCTCTTTATTTTCTATGGTGAAATAATAAGAATTCCTACAGTATTTATAGTTGAAATTCTCAATTGAGTTTGTATGCAATTAGAATTTAAAACGATGTATATAAAAAATTTGGATAAGAATTGATTTTAAAAAAATATATATAATTATGATTACTTTTAAACTTTATCAAATTAAAATTGCAATCAAACTCTATCTAAATCACAAAAAGTTTATCATTATCAAAATCAACATTTATCAGTCTATCGATACATAATTATTTGATTCAATAAGATAGAAATTTAAAACATATTTCATTTTAGTCCTCAATTTTTTCTTTCAAAATATTAAAAATATACTATAT